TTTTTTGCTTTGTTTTGTTACTACGTAGATCATATACCAGTTGCCATAAAACGCTGGGCTGCTTGCATTTTGGTTGACTCTGGCAGTTAAGCTCTTGGCATCGGCTACAAAGCTCTCAAGGACGCTCAGAGCACGCATACAATGCTTGCGGTACCCATATGTTGAAACGACTAGCCACCCAATGGTTATTATTGTTCTTGGTTTATGTTAATTGTTTTTTTTGGTTCTACGGCGAGTACCTAAATTTCACCACTGAGCCATGCTATAATTTATGTTTAGCACGCAAAACGTCTGAATATTGCACAGACATCTTAGCTTAGCCTGTGATCACTGGTTCATACCTTATATCTCATGGTTACCTCAAGTTAACTCCTGCGTAACTATTAATGTACAATTGTACTAGTCTCATTACGTGCCCCCACCCTGTTTGGATGCCTCATAGGCTCTGCTGGCCCGTAGCCAGGCAGTGGGACAGGACTAGCCATCTTATATCAATATTGACTGCTTGCAATGTCTGACCACAAATAGTAATAGGAACACAAGCTCAATTGTTTCAAGCAGCATGTATAGCCAGATTACTACTCTCATTTTACTAAACCTGTCTGAGCTTACCTTTAAACTTATCTTTGCGCTATATTCTAATGACAAAACGGGATAGCCAGGCTGATGATTGGCATAACTATACGTATAACACTGTGCATTTCTCATGCCACTGCCCAATTTACGTACAACCTCAATGCTGTTTATAAGCTAAAATTGTGCGAAAGGAAAGGGAAAGGGAAACGAAAAAAAAAAAAAAGGGAGCCCACTGCCAGAACTCGTAAAATGCTCAGACCATAACCAAACAAAACCATGCAGTCGCAAGGGGTATATACTCCTACCTTGCTTAAATTGCCATCATCAGGTATATAACCAAATTTAGCTACTTCCCTTCACTAGTCACTCCAGACTTTTACTGTCTAGCCTGTTTAGCCTGCGGGATATATATAACTTAACAAGGTGCCACTATATTACTCCACTACATCACTTTGGTTACTCATGTTTTTCCTCCACCAGTGTTGTGAGGCTTAATCGTTCTTACTAACTTGCCTAACACGACTCGTCACTAAGACACTCTCTGCCCAGACAAACAAGTGTTATGTTTAACTAGTCACCATACTTTAAATATAAAATTTCGTGCTGTTCTCTCAAATGATGCAAAGTATTGTCTCTAACAGTTCTCAATGTCAACCTACATGTATCATTGAATGTACTGCAAATCCTCGCATTTGCTGTTGTGGCAATGCAGGAGGTATTGTAATCTCATGCACGTTCAAAAATAAAGAATAAAAAAAAATACAAAAAAATGGTACTGCTTGTGTGTGTCAGTGAGCTTCTATTTAGTGAGCATGTGTGTGTCAGTGAGCTTGTTTTTAGTGAGCTTGTGTGTGTGTCCCTGAACTTCTTTGTAGTGAGCCTTCTGTTTATACAAGTGAGTGTCTGTAGTAAGCTTGTGTGTGTCAGAGAGTTTTGTCTGTCAGTAAGCCTATTTGCGCATGTCAGTGAGCTTGTGTGCTTACTGTACTATATATATATTTTGACTTGTAGGATTGGCATACGTTTTTTTTTCCAGGGCTGCTTTGGATTCCCAGGGATTCCCAGTTTGGCTCTGCCAGCGAGTGCACTTTACCGCTGAATAATCTGTGTGAGTTGCCGCACACTTTAGCCCTGTTACACGCATCTGGGAGCTGCTGTTGACAGGTACTAGTAGTCTAGAGATTGGGGTATATGCTCAGCTATCTGTATAATACAGATATGTGTGTATAAAATATCCCGGGATAGTCAGTGCTTCCTGTATAGTGCTGCTCTCTGTCTTGGGATATTATACACAAACAGACCTGTATTATACAGAGAGCAGCACTATACAGGGAGCACTGAGTGTCCCAATTTATTATACACACAACCCTGTATTATACAGAGAGCACTGACTGTCCAGGGATATTATACCCAGACAGTGATTGATAGCTGTACTGCAAAATGTCCTTGGAAATTTTTTTTCAAATGTTGGCAACTATGGCACTGTATCAAGGACAATGTGTTTGTTTTTTTAATAATCCCTGGTGGAAAATAATGAATCCTCCACCAGGTATTATTAAAAAAACAAAGCACATTGTGTCGGGGGCGTGGCTTAACATGTGACAGGGGCGGGGTTAAACTGCTAAGAGGGCGGGGTTAAATGTGCCCCCCTACTTTTATCACTGGCCCTCCATGTGCCCCCCCGAAAAATGAATCCTAGAGACGCCACTGGACACTAAGGGCCATTGGGAGACATTATGGCAGACACTGAGACACTAAGGGACATTGGGAGACATTATGGCACAGACACTTGGGGACACAGAGACACATGGGGACACAGTGTCCCTATGACAGTCAGTGTCCCTGGTGTCTTAGTGCCCCCTAGTCTCCCAGTGCCCCCAGTCTGCCAGTGTCTCACTGACCTCATGTCTCCCAGTGCCTCCATGTCTCCTAGTGCCTCAAGTGTCTCAATGTCCCCATGTCTCTAAGCTAGTGTCCCTAGTGCCTCAGCATCCCCATGTCTCCCAGTGCCCCCATGTCTCAATGTCCCCCAGCCAGTGTCTCTAGTGTCTGTGTCCCCATGTCTTCAAGTTTTCCCAGTGTCCCAGCCAGTGTCCACTAGTCTCCCAGTGTCACTGGTGTCTCCGTGTCCCTAGGTCTCCCCATGTCTCCAGGCCTCCCCGTCTTCCTAGTGTCCTAGTGACATGGGGACCCTGGGATACATGGGGACATAGACACATGGGAATACTCTAGGACACAGGGAGACATGGGGCATTGAGTCACTCTGATACATAGGGACACTGTGATACATAGGGACACTGGGAGACCTGGGGACACGACACAACACTAGGGGACACTGGGAGACATGGGGAACTGAGACACTGATACATAGGAACACTGAGACCTGGAGTAATTGACACATGGGGGCACTGGGAGGAATCCATCTATACAGCAGAATCAAACTAAGTAGTTTTTTGGTGATTTTACAGCATTTTCTCTTATGTCACTCCTTGTGATTTACATCATGTGATGTCACCCATACATATTTAATTATGCAAATTAGTAAGGCCGGTATGTTTTTCCAAGAAAGGTGGCAACCCTAACTACTTTTCACATACTCTTACTTATGTATGGAAACTTAAGAGGGATGTATGGGAACAAAACTTGTGTGGACTGGCTGACAATGAATATAGTTAAAGGGACACTATAGTCACCAGAACAACTACAGCTTATTGAATTTGTTCTGGTGTGTAGAATCACTACCGTCAGGCTTTTTGCTGTAAACATTGTCTTTTCAGAGAAAATGCAGTCTTTACATTACAGCCTGGTGATGACTTCACTGGCCACTCCTTAGATGGTGGTTAGAGATCCTTCCTGGGTCATGGCTAAATGCATCCA